CTAACATATCTTTGTAATAAAAGACTAAAGCCATCAATACACTGCGTTCAATAATAGAGAAAAAATAGCACAGATAGTGCGGGTGTTGAGTAAATAAAAAGATCGCTCTTTGCAATCCTTGTGCGCACGCTCAATTGCATCAGCAAAAGCGCGCGCGAAAACTGTGTTCGGCCACCTTAAGTGGATAGACGTACTTTAAGGTAAAAGTTTGGTATCCTCTTGTGGCAGAATATTTCTTACCGGCAGATGCTCATTAACAGACTGACCGTCTCCGTCTCGGTCTTCATCTTCGACTTTCGGGAATGTCTCCTGACGGTAGAACTGCATTTGACGCCTGTACGTTCTTCCTCTGCTGTATTCTTTGTCTAGCGACCGATCGAATCCTCTGCCCCAATTAGAAACAAGCTGCACTTCTTGAACAGCAATTACAAGGAAAACAACAAGAACGGCTGCAACTGGAACAAGACTCTTCATAGTGTCTGAAAACTGACAATCGGCGATACGGCGGCTATTTTAAATTCTATTGCCTCAAATAGCTATTATGGGATACTCAGGGGGTAAATTAGCATGTATTTGCCCTCTAAGCATCTCATAATAGCTATTTGAAAAAATAGAATTCAAATTGGACCGGCCGAATGGAGCGAGCCGAAGCGAGCAGCCGAATCTCCTGCCCCAATTAGAAACAAGCTGCACTTCTTGAACAACAATTATAAGGACAACAACAAGAACGGCTACAACTGGAACAAGACTCTTCATAATAACTAAAACCTGACAATCGGCGATACGGCGGCTATTTTAAATTCTATTGTCTCAAATAGCTATTATGGGACACTCAGGGGGCAAATTAGTATGTATTTGCCCTCTAAGCATCTCATAATAGCTATTTGAAAAAAATAGAATTCAAAATGCTGCCGGCCGTATCGCCGAAAAAGCCCGCCATTGATATACTCTTTTCTATTCCCCGTTTCCTTTATTAGTTAATGCTCGCAAGCAGAAAATTGTTCTGTCCGGCGGTTACTTTTTAATCAATGTCTCGTTTTGGAAACGTTTATGCAATTATTGAAGGACAATGGTAATAATCCATTCAAAGTGAGGTGACGACACGGTCCACCTTAAATCAACTGGAAAGTCCAAGAATGTATCAAACAAATTGAACGTAATACGTCCTATTTAAAGAATATCTAAGCACAGTTCAATCTCTGCAGCCCACCAAATGCAGAGAAATACACAGTCAAACAATCATTCAAACAAACAAAAAAAAAATGGCTCACAACAATTGCATTTTAAAACTTGCTTTATTTGCTTCTCGTTTTTTTTTTGTTTTTTTTTTGCACTTCTTTATATTATCAGGTGAATAGTATTTCATTCTTCATAGTTTTCATCTTCCTGGTCTAGAGTTTCGCTGATATCAATCCTCCTCAAAGGCCTGAAAGGTAGAATCAAAATACAACACAGAACAAATTGATACACATATAGCAACCGGTGTAAAAGAAGGTCTTTTTATTTATTAAAGAACTCTTGCCATATATATAATACCATGAAACATTAAATAGTTTTGCAATCTCGAGGTCCAAGTAGATGGTTGTATGTTGCCCCAGCCACACTGAGCCAAAGGAATTTTAAAACGTAACAATCGCCGGTCACTTTGGATTTGTTTTTTTTTTTTAGGCTGGGAAACACAGGATTATTGGGACGCCATCGTTTTCGAAAAGCTCCGTTTTCAAAATGTTTTCCGTCCACACGAAAACGCAAAGCCGGTGTTTTCAAATTCCTCCGGTTTGAAGAGCGTTTTCGATGAGCTCCGTTTTCGTGACGGATTAGTGTCGACGGTAGGCCTAAACCCCCGGAATTTGGTATGCTAGTCTGACATAAAACTGGTATCTATTTACCGTTTTAAGTGGGTAGAGGTATTTTAAGGTAAAAGGTTGGTATCCCCTTGTGGCAGAGTATTTCTTACCGGCAGATGTTCATTAAAAGACTGATCGCCTCCGCCTCGGTCTTCTTCTTCAACTTTCGGAAATGTCTCCAGACGGTGGAACTGCATTTGACGTCTGTGCGTTTTACAGTTGCTGTATTTTTTGTCAAGCGAGCGGCCGAATCTTCTGCCCCAATTAGAAACAAGCTGTACTTCTTGAACAGCAATTACAAGGACAACAACAAGAACGGCTACAACTGGAACAAGATTCTTCATAATAACTGAAAACTGACAATCGTTAGAAAGCTGATTATTACGTATAATATTCAATCAAAAAAGCGAAAGAGAGAGATATGGGTTTAACTTTTCATCTTCTTAAAGGTGACCCAGTAAAGTAGGAAGGTGGACACTTGAAACAGAACCACTCTAAGATTTACCCCGAGAAAATTTTAATCTCTTAAAACTTCTTAATATCACCGTCAGCGTGAAACACGGACTTAGTACATCCCTGGAATACTAAAATCTGCAGTTTTGTTTTGTTGAACGAACAAAACTTTTGCCTCAAAAGTGGAAACGATAAAACGCTTGTTATTATGCTGGCGCCCAGTGCCCTCTCAAAATGACAAAAAGAACCCATTTGCTACGTATTCCTAATCGGAAAAAAAGACTCGGATAACTCACTCACCTTACAAAACTTGAGCAATCTGTGGTGACCTAACCTAGTTTGCAAAATCATCGAGCCTCGCTCTCCTTTTATTCAGATCTATAGGGTGACAAAATGATACGATCGTGTGTGTTCCTTATCTTTAGTGACGCCCTCTTATTTATCTTAGAGTCATACCTAATTTTACATCGATTCGATCAGTCGTCATGTTTGTCAATTCCTTCTTTGCCATAACGGCCTAAACTGATGTGCGAGAAACAGTTTACCTTACCTAAATTCATATTGGTTCAGTCTTGCTGTTCATCGTTCACCTTTTTGTCTTAACGGCGTCAAACTGTCACATTCAATTTGGTCAAGGTAGTCTTGTTTACCTGGTTGCGATCACTATCATTTTATTAGTTTTCCTTTTTCTGATAAGGAAATAAAACTTTACACTCGAACACTGAGCTACCTGAGTGAGATCACAACTCAATTTTTCCTTTAAATCAGTGTTTGAAACCCTAACAAGTGATTATTGAAAGCTACTGAACAGTATTCCCACATGCACAGAGGTAGTCATGGGGTTTACCGCCTCGGATAATCCCCCAGTGTCTAAGTGTTCAAATAAATCGAAAGTTAACGAGGGCTCCTTTCATGTGATTGGGGAATTGTTTATTAAGCTTACCCAGGTGGTTCTAACTTGAGTCTTTGTAGTGAGCCCTAGTGTGTGACCGCTACTGAATGTTGAACTGAGCAGAACACTTTTCAGTTGGTGCTTTTTATTTTCCAATATTAGTTCGGTCAAGAAGGAAATTTAAATTTGAGAGTTCCTCTTTTCTATTCTAGATGTAGTTTAATTGTCGTGAAATGATCAAGTTTGCTTTACTAAAACAACTGCCATTGTCTTATTTAATTAGAATCATGTTTCCATGAGTTGGTGGGCTTGGAGGGAGAGAATCAATGGCCCAATTCTCGGCGCAAAAAAAGATCGATGAATGTTTTTTTTTTTTTTCTTTCTAGGGGGATTCTGAATGATGTTTGCATTTAACATGAAACCTAAAGTAAGAGATAGTTGTGGCGTCATTGATCAGACTCTCTACCATTGCCATAAACTTCTGCAGCACAACGTCTATTCTGCTTTTGTCAAAATCTTTCCATGCGATATAAACCATTTTCATGTCAAGTCAAAAAGTAGGCTCGGTAAATATAAAAGTAATCAATAGGAACCTGCATGAAGCATGTAAAAACGAAGAGTTTCATAAATTTCTAAGTCAGAACAACGTTTGCTTCTTAAAATTTTGCGAAACTTTATTTCCCCTTATCGTAAATTTACCTCCATCGTATATATTATAAATGATAGCCGTAGAAAATGGGGCTGGGTTAATTAAGAATTCGTGCCTTTTCATTTCTCGATCTACAAAGATTCATGTAAATGCCATAATACTTTGACAAAACTTTTTTCCGCTATGAATCTTTTATCGCAAGTGCGATTTTCTATGTGGAAACAAATCTCTGGCCCTGAAACGGATGCGCAACCTAGTTTTGCAATTGTAGATTTTCTTCATTCGATGTTCGCTGCTAATGGGTCTGGAATTTAATTAAATAATGTAAATAAACTTTTGGAGTATGCCTATCCAGTTGGCCTTAATTGTGCACTGTGCATTTAGAAAGACTGAAATATCAAATATGCTATGATTCGTTTTAATCCAACGTATTTCTGATAGCCTTTCCAACGTACGTGGCTACAATTAACAAGTTTACGAAGTCAACTTTGTTCAAAAATTAACTGAACTCTTCTTTTTTTTTCGATTATCTTAATTTAAGAAACCTGCCTAAATATTGGAAAGTCAGTGTTACAATTATTAAGCCAAGTTTCCTTTTCTAAAATACACAAATTGATAAAGATAAAAGTGGAGCAATTTTTGTGTGTTCTTAGGGCTTGGAGTATGTGGGCCGCGTGGAAACAAATGTATTAAATTAACACTACACGGTTAAGTTAAAAGTAGATTTTAATTAAAAACGTCGACGTGTTTTAAGAAAATTAGAAAGCTAAACACAGCCTTTTCTTAAAATGCCACGTCCTTCTTTCACAGAAATCTTCTGAGTACGCTTGCTATGTGTTCTGTACTCATTTCGAAAGGGAAAACTGGCCAAAGTTAATTTAGTTATCAGTTCATATATTCATGAAGATTGTTTTTCTTTTTGTAGAGGGACGCTAATATTTTGCATTTAGTTTGTTTAGTTTTAGTTGAGTTTGTGAGCATATCAAGGCTTTTTAATTAATTTTAGACAGATTGTCTTGCATTTCATCCAATAGCACAAAATTTCTTGTTAACAGAATATCGATAAAATCAAATAGCTAAGGGGAATACATTGGTAAAACATTTTCAGAACTTGGAATTTTCATAGATTCTGCACTCTGTATCAGTTACGCTGTGTTGCCTTGTAAAAATGGAAATAGTCACGTATCCTGATCTTCTTGAAATTTTAACATCGTCATCTCATTTGTTATATCCTTTCCATTAGGTAACAAATCGATTAATCAAAACCTTTTATTTAGATGTCAGTGAAAGCAAAAATAATTACTGTGTCTCCTGTTAAAGGATCTTTCCGATGTCAAGATAACTCCTAAGACATGTTCAAATAAACCGTGAGCATGAACTTACATACGTCTTGGAAACCAAAATATAACTTGCATTTCTGTTGCTTTTCATGGGCCAAAATCTAAATTAACTACTAGTGACTACTATGCAACACCTAACGCCGAGTTGGGAACTGGAACCAGCACAAATTTCACCAAATCACCAAATCGCCGATGAAATTTTAGACCAGAAAGCGTGTCACATTTTCTGAACTTCTACCTGAACTGATTGGAATTTTCATATAAATAATGGCTACCGTTTCCTTATAATCGCTGGTGACCATAAAGTAGCTCTCACCGGAACCGGTGTTCTTACATTTTGGTCTTTTGAACATCTAGAATTTCTTCAGATAGTCTTCTTTAGCTCTTTGTCTTGAAATCGCAGGCAATGTGAGTTAAGTTTTTGAATTATTTTACCCAAATGAATTCATAGTAATAACCAACTATAAAAAAAAAAAAACCAGTTTGAAAACTGTGGGTTAATAGGGACAAACGGTTTAAGACACATTTATGTTTCTTTAAAACATACGCGCTTTGAATTGGGACTCACGAATTCAGAATAACAATTCAGAATAGAAAATTAATTAGGTTAATACATGCGAAAAACACAACATCCATTATTTTTCTCGTCAAAAGCACCACTGCAACACCAGTGAAAGAAAGAACAGTTCACGGCCTGGAGGAAAGTGGCAAGGGTTTTAAGGACATGTAAATACACAACTTTTACCAACAAAATGAACGGAAAAATTCATATATTATTCTTTGGCAACGTCCCAACTCTTAAATTTTATATTCCATGATGCATGCATTGAAAGACAGGCAACAAAATCAAAACACTTTATCCGCTCGGTAAGACTTCACTGATGAATCAGTTTCCAGTCAAGCCCGGAAATGATCAGTGTTGGCCGTTGTAACGCCTTAAACGAGCAAGCATTAACAAGAATCATCATAATGACTGAATTTAATGCTGTTTCTCGCGAAGATTAACTTTCACTCCACACGATATGAAATAAATTGGCTCATTACAGAAACCCAGAACCAATCAACGTCCATAGAAAATCTCGCCTGTCCATCCAAAGACTTATGAAGGAAAAAACAGCGTTGAATTTCAGATTTGAAATTCATCCTAAAAGGCTGCCAGAGTTAGAATTTTCTGACGATAGATTTTGATTTACTTTTTGTTTTGAGAAAAACAAACCAAAAAAAAAAAAAATAGTCGCGAAAGCATAAAAAGGTGAAAATAGAATGAGAATTCAGAGTTTTAAAGCATTTACCACATCGTTCCATACGTAGTTATTTATAATGATGTCCATGCATACATGTAAACCTCAGCTTTTTCAGATGTTGTCCGATGGTGCTTTTCAAAAGACGAAAAGTGAGATAGGAGTTATCGTGAGAATCTCAGAGATTTCAAAATGGAAAACAGACTGTTAAATTAAGTTTGGGTTTTGTAGTATTTGATTTTTCTTAGAAAGTTTAATTACCAAACAGTCATTTTGCGCGCAATTAACAAACAGGAGAAAGAAAGAATTATTAACAACCTTAGCAAGCTTCGTTTTTTTTGTTATTTAAATACAAACGCCCCCAGAGCATCCTGAATCACTGAGTTTATTCTACTAAGTTAGAAATTAATTGGTTGCCTGTCTCTGATGTTTGCTGATTACACAGTTACACAAAAAGTGAGCGCAAAACGGAAAACCTTATTTGAACAGTTAACAATACGGCAAATATTAACTCGTAGGTTCATTTCCTAGGCAAGATATTTTATGGTGTAAAATTCAAAAGAACACGTATGGTCAAATCACACGGAATATTGATAGTAGTCCATTGCTAGGTTTAGATCCGGTGCTAAAACAAAGCTGTATTCTTTACGGAAGAATATTATTTGCGTATCGAGATAAATGGGCTGAAAGATTGCTACATAATATGGTTTTCTTTTCTAGGGACGAATTTAAGACAGCGTCGACTCAAGAGTGGAGAATTCGTTACAGAAATCGACAGGAACGTGGAATAGAATCCCAGAAAACTTCTCAACCGCTTGGTGGGTTAAAGATTTAAATAAGATCTGTTGGAATTCTAAAAGTGTTACATTTGCAGCAGGCTTTGAATTATACACTGCATTGCAACGCCAAAGTTAAAAGGGCGAATTAGATATGCCCTTTCCTTTAAGAAAAAAAACTGACGAAAAAAATGTAAGTCCGTTAGTTTTAGGGCTGTTTGTTATCAGTGTAGTGGAGAGTTTCTTAGATATCTAATCTTCTTCAAATCTTATATTGCTGGTTTGATATGTTCAATTTCTTGTTCGATAATTTTGATTGATAGGTAAAAGATGGTCAACAAAGATTATGTTGGGTAACGGTTATTAATCAAGATACTGTTCTGATCTATCATGGTGGTGTTTAAAAATAGCTGGTTACAATGTTCGACACACGCAAAGTATGATTTTTAAACGAGTTCACTACAATTTCCATTTTCTGCCAGTTCTGTTTGCTATCCACAAATCCGTTCAGTAGAAAAAAAGATATGTTAGAATGATAATTAAACAATTAGATGACTGGTCCGAGTTCCAGTTTCCATGAGCGAATAGTGAACAAGGAGCGATCGGGCTGTTTCATTAGTCTCGGACTACGAGAAGTCTTAGCAGTCTCGGCGTGCAAGGCAGGTTCTTTACCTGTCGTATCTCGTACCGGTTGATGATTGTTTTGTGTATGAACTTTTTTATGTATGGGTCAGTTACTTCATGATACTGCCTCTTCAGGTTCCGTCAAGTGTCGAAATTACGACAGTAAGCCAGCTTTTTGTAATCACGTTTATTGACATGAATCCTCAGCTGAGCCCCAAACGCCCCCACCCCCACCCCCCGCCCCTCACCCGCGTCCCGTTTAGTTCTCTCTCGTTTCCTCTTCCAGGCGCTCCCTCGGTTTCATAAGACCCCGCGCAGTCCCCTCTGAAGTGACTCCTTCAGGGCAGTTGTTAAGAGAGCTTTTTATGGTACATAAACTTGCTTGAATCCAAACGATGATTTAGAGGGTGTAATTGTAACTGTGTGCCTACATTTCTCTATTTTCTAGGCAATAAATATGAAGCGCACTGTTCTATCCGTTCTCTTGTTGGTTTTCCTTTTCTCCACAACTTTCCTGCACAGTGCAGAGGGTAATTATCTGAGGTTTGGCCGAACGCTGAGCAAAAGAAAACTTAGAACTCGAAACAGGTTCCAGGTTGAAACAGATGATGCGCTTGCTTCCAACAAACGGCGGGGAACTGGTAATGGACTGCGGGACGACGCTTACTTACCAACATATAACTGGTGAGTAAAAAATGCCAGCCGTGCTGTTCGTGCTCTTTTAAGGGAACGCTTCAAATTGATCGATTTGTTTATTCATATGCATTCTGTGACGTCCGGTACAATGCCTTATTTCCATAGTTTCCTCTATACAGCGAATAACGTTTTGCAGTAAATACGGATTTCCACATCGAATGACTAAACTGTCAGTTGATCTGCAATCCCTTCTTATTCTTTGTATGGACGAGGTCTGTGGTCTCAAACTCGAATTGTAGTATTTTCCTTACTGAAAACTTACTTTCCTTTTAAGGTTCGTTGTAATAATTTGAATGGTCGTTGATATTTAAACGTGCATTTTACTTAGAATATAAAAATCAAAGCGATTCGACTATTCATGTTGTTGGCATCCGTCTGTCTCCTGAGCCAGACGTAATAGTTAACCTCAAGGTAATAGCTAACATCATTATCAAGAAATATAGCCAACCGAAGTTGTGAAAGTCGCGACCAGCATTGTTTACTGCTTTAAATGCGGTCTACGCCGGCTGGTTATGCAAATAGCCACTTCCATCAACCCTACATGAGGAACACGGTAGCCTCAAGGACCTCAAGCAGCAATTTAGAAGCAGATGAAACACATGCATGTCGGCATTGGGCAAACCATCTTTAACTGAGAACGCTTTGGTAATGCAAGGTGCAACTTGAACCCCATTTCTGACTTCATTTCACATTTCTTTTCTTGCTAATGATGTTGCCTATTACTTCGAAACGTCGAATCGCTGTATTTTTTGTATTCTTAGTCAAGAGAGGATTTAGGGGACAAGAGATTAAACCTGCTATAGAGGCCTTACTCCCAGGGGAAATCTCTCTCAAGCTATTTTTAGATCAATCTCAGTTACGATTTCCTACTTTATGTTTTGCTAATATCAAAGAGTAAATTAGAAGCTGATAGTCTTGAAAATAAGACTAACCTCACATGAAAAATGAAAAAAAACAACAACAACAAAAAATGAGACGACCTACTTCGCCCAAAGATACTCCGCTGAAGAAGCGATGTCCACGAAATAGTGTACATGTATATTGCTAGCTTACATTAAACCTGAGTTTTTCTTATTTCTTTACAGATGACTGCTCAAGTAAAGTTTCTTGCAAATGAAGTGGATACCACGCAATGTTTTAGCTTAACTTGTAAAGAGCGAAGAGCATCAATAAATTGTCACAGAGTCCTTAGCTTCTAAATAGCATGAAAAGAAATAAATGCTTTTTTTGATGGTAAAACTTGCTACAGTTTGAATTTTCTTACCGGGTGTAACAAGGGATTTATGAACGAAAAAACGAACGAGCGAATGTGCGATTGAGCGAAGGAACGAATGAACGAACAAACGAACGAACGAACGAACGAACGAACGAACGAACGAACGAACGAGTGAACGAACCAACCCACTAACCAACGAGCGAGCGAGCGAGTGAACGAACGAACGGACAGACGAACGGACTACCAAGCAAACAAACGAACGTTACAGTCAGTCAGTAGTGTTTTTTTTAACTCAGGTTTGTTACTATTTTTGTATTATACATGTCGTACTGAGTCATTCCAGAGTTTCAAAATATATGATCAAGTAGGATACCAGAGCAACATCCTTTTAACGGCACTGCTTTGCTAGTAATAAGTGACATTCGTTTCCCCTTGGCAAATAATTTAGCACAACTCCTGATATCTAATAGGGACTAGCATTCTATAATGTGAAACAAGATCATTTAAAGAAGGATTATTGGATAGGAATCACGATGGTATGAAACAGAACTAATTAGTGTCTGTGGAAATGAAAACCAGTGGACTGTTGTTACATGACCATCTAAAGACCTGGCTAAACGGACTCGCAAGTGGTCGCAAAGAAGCCGCAAGTTAAACTTGCGTAGAGACTTGCCTTGAGTGGCCAACGGACTCGCAGTTTTCCTCGCAAATACATGCAAGTCACAAAAAAAAACACTTCAAGGCAGACATATCCTGTGTTTGATTGGCTAATAGATTGCCATAACAACGAATGGACGTCACTCAACTTTTGTTGGCTTGGATTGGGTGGCCAAATGGTGAAAACTTGCGTTGACGTGCATGCAGATTTGATCTCGACCAAAGACAGCGTAAGTCATCGCAAGTCAACGCAAGGCCTGACCAAAGGAAGTCGCAAGTGGACCCAAGTTTTAACTTGCGCCTACTTGCGAGTCCGTTTGGCCAGGTAGGCGGGTTATATTGGATGATGAAAACACAGCGGAAAACAGATAAATGATTAAAAGTGAAAAGAACTGACAAAGACAATGGTTGATTTCACTGGTCGATTGCCAAAGTGACAATACTCAAGACTAGCTTTTAGCCATTCATTGTTATATTTCTCATCGGCATAATTTCAAGATAAATATCAGCGAGAACATTCTATTGTTTGAAAGAATAAAACAAGAAACTACCTAAACATTTTCAAGTCCGGATCTTCCGATGTAGCATCTTTCTTCAAGGAACAACCCCGAAAAACATGCATATATAGCTTGGCTATGACCTATAGTCAATCACTATTTATTTTTTCCGTTTCTCACTCAGTATATGTTCATCATTCGGAACATCGATTGCATGAGACCTAAAAAAAGAAGTTAAAAATAACTATCAGTATCATCGCTCATATTCATAATTCAATTCCATATCCTAGTGAAAACTGAAGCTGCAAACCAGGTGAGATTCGCTTGAGACGCTTTTGAAAAATGCCAACTTTGACGAGGCGTACTTTGTTGGACTAAATGCCAAGAGATAACACTCGAAACGTCATCCTCACAAACTCGCGATGCTAATTTAATTTTATCGACGTCGAGTTGATAAATATGAGAAGGTGAAATGGCATAAGAGCAGAGTTCTAAAACAACAATAGTTGGTAATATCTGAAAAAAAAGGCATTTCTTGAAATAGTGTCTACCAAGCGTTCTTTAATTTTCCTTTAAATGGAGAAGGACGCCTTTTATGTGACCAAAATACAAATCAGTCCACCACCCTGGAGTGTCTTGTAGATTAAATTTTCATATATATATATAGAGAGAGAGAGAGAGAGGTGGGTTTGAGAAATAATATGTCAAACTAGTCTTTGTAGATCTCGAGCGACTTAAATGTTTTAGAACTCTGCTCTTATACCATTTTACCTTCTCATATTTATCAACTCGACGTCGATAAAACTAAATTAACCGCCATTGCGAGTTTGTGAAAATGACGTTTCGCGTGTTATCTGTTTCAGTTGCCGTTGTTAGGCGAGCACTAAGTATGTACTCCGTTTAATATAATTGACTTTAAAATTAATAATTCTCTATTTGTTTTGCTATTAGTGAACTGTAAACGGTTTTTACCGAATAATGTACCACTATTTTTTTCAATTATTTATCTATTTATTTTTCCAAGAAGGAACAAAATGGAAAGCTGTTTTAACGTCATAACGCTTCCCACAAATGCCTGTTTTATAGAGGGTTGTGATTTAAATTGATTACAGCGTTGTCTGCGTCAGGGCTGCCAGAGGTGTCATTTTGGTGGAAATAAACGTTGCAGCCGTCTTTTGCGAAAATGACGATCACGAAGTGATGATCAAGGGTAGCGCGAGGTGTCCACTCCATCTTAACGTTTTTATCTAGCGTCACGAAATAAATTCTACTAAAAGTTACCTGCGTGTTTCAACGATTCTAGAGATTTGTGGCAGTTGCTCCAGGTCAGTTTCGTCTTCTGCTAATGTCCTTGCTCTCATAACCCTTGCGTCAGACGCGTACTTTTTCATACCACGCCCAAACCGAAGATAAAAACTGCCGGTTGCTTCGTGTAGAAACAGGGCTAGGAGCACTTGTGATATAAGGAGAGTGGTGGACGTACAAAGTTTCATTATTCGTCAGCGATCTGCAACAAATTCGGTTGCTTAGGTGAAGCACTATGGAGGATAGGGGTTGGCGAGATAAGAAGATGAAGAGATCATTTTTCTAAGTCAGGTCCTTGTCAGCTCAGTATCCCATTTTTTCATGAGCATATCTTCTAACTTATTACTGAAGGTAATATCGTTTTGGTAACAGTCGTCAGAAAAGAACCGACAGAATTTTGCAGCTTATGGTTTCAATTATACGTTTTCCATGTATATAATTATGATGATTAAAACAAGATCGGTAGAAAGTCGTCCGTTCTACGTTGCATTTTATATTTGGTCGTCAGTTTTTGGATTCCCTGGAGCCGGCCGAGTACGAGTGACAAAGACCGATAAACAATTTTGCAACTATGAAAACGACAGTTTCTTGGACATCTGTATGTAAAGGATTATGTTTTTTGGATGCCAAAATGTTTTTGAACTGTCTCTGGAAGACAATTGTTTCCGGAAAGGCCAAAGGGGTAAACCAGTTTTCGTTACGGTTTATTCTGAGGGGCCTAGTACTTTACTGACTAACAGATATTCCAATGAGAAATAAGAGATCATTGTACGAGATGTCCTTACCTTCATTATTATCATTACCTTACCAACCTGGCTAAGTAAAGTTTACCTTACCTTACCTTTACTTGACTTCGATATCGACACTGTGTTCGTGATCCTTTCTTACAGAGAGAGTCTCGTATTTCGTGTTCCTCCACCCGGCTAGTTTCCCAACAAGTATATGAAGCGAGACGGCAAGTTTAGTTTGGACTGGAGATGTTTAAAAGGGCAGGCGCGCAGGTGGTCTCCACAAGCTGACTGTGTTTGATTAATTGAGCGCGCGTTGGTCGAGCAAATGTGTTTCTTTATAAATTTTTGCGCAGGTATCACTATCAGTAAAAGCACACTTTTTAAAAAAAGTCCTGCTGTTTTTGATGCGGCAAAACGGAAGCAAACTGAGCCGAAATAACTCCACTCCCACGTGCATTTACGATTCCAATCAAGATAAGGCAGTTTAAGGTGCCTCCAACGGTGCTCTCCGGTAACATCGGAGGATGACAACCTCTTAAACTTCACACCATTCCAAATCTTAAAACTTTCAAGACACAATTTCTGATTGGAGAAATTCATCGTTATCTTGCTTAATAACATTTATATTTTCCATTAAACTCTAACTTTAGAGCCGTTGTATTTTGTTTGCATTGCTCTTGTGAAGATATTAATGAAACGAATACACTGCCCGAGGAAACAAAAAGAAAGATTTTAGTAGATAATCACTGGAATCTGGATATTGTCTATCTACTAAGTTTGTTTACGTTATTGCTAAAGAAAAGAAATCTCTACAGCAAACAAAAAGATATCAGTGAGGCAACTCTAAAATTTATTTAATGAACTACAAAAACTTTCGTTGAATACAGTTGATAGTTTAGACTAGCCGAGTAGACAGCTAAAGTATGAAGTATGTTTATCATTCCACCAAGCAAAACATTCTAGTAAACAATAAGTAATTGCTCTAAGAAAATGGAAAAGATTTTTCTTGATCTTTGTTAATTAATTTGAGATAAAAGCCCACAGAGAACCCTCTTATGTGTCTGATATCACTTAATTTCTCGCTTGCGGTACGGGCTGAAGCTTGAAATAACACTTCCACGCTTGAAAATCAATATTTGCCACTTTATCCCGTTAATGAATCAATATTTACTCGTTCAATCGCAAATCAACATAAAGTAAAGTTTTGACTTTAAGTATTAACACGCTGTGAACACATTTTGCTGACGAATTATGGCTGCAAGCTATTAGACATTTTGAGTACATGGACTTTTAAAGTTAATAACTGTATTTAAACTGTAGTTTTCGTTATGTCGATGTGATGTTTTCATAATTCCGTTCAAAAAATATTCCATTGCCGAGTTGAATACAATATGTTTTTTGTTTTGCATAATTTTTCTCTCCTTTAACAGGTGTTTTTTTGTGTGCCATTTTCCAAATCTGATGAAAAGTTCTTTGTGTTATGTTTTTAAATCTACAATATTTAGTTTTATCCTTTTTGGAGCAATTTCTAAAATTTTTTGCTAAGTCAAATTTTTCGTATCTTGCTTTTTTTTCGCGCAGTGAGTCGCAGCAGGTATTTGTCCATTGAAGAATGTTTAGGTCATCCTACCAGGACTAAGTTTACTACGAGGATCACTTTTGCAACATCAATGCTTGAATCTAAAATAAGTGTATCCAGATTGCCCAAAAAGTCTGCAACAACAAAAGGAGTGAAAATCTGAAATTCAGCGAAATAATGATGTAATAAAAACTGATAACACATCACTAGATTGCAAAATATAAAACTAAAGCGGTGACTCGGTTAATTTTCAGTGCCAAAAATGTTATCTTAAACTGTTTCATGTTTTGTTTTGAACAGATCTTGCTGGTACACAAAGAACAAACTGAGAGTTGATGGTAGGTTCCGTTTGATTATATGCCCCTCTTCATGAAAATTCAGTTTCCCTGTATGAAATCGAGTGACGTCACCTTTCCGAAACATGCTATAAATCTCTTTCAATATCGTTATCTCCGGTATCCGTTGTTTATTCCGATAATGTTTGACCCGAAATCCGCCCTCTGTAGTATACTGACTTATAAAAGCATCAAACAGAGATAATTGTCGATGCCAAATTTCAAATCAATTTCCTGTAATCAGTTTACAAAACTCAGTTTCTTTTTGTGTGAAACATACATGTCAAGTATCGATTACATTTCAGATCAAATATCATAAAGGAGAAATGGGTTCTTTGGGAAGTGGAAAAAATCTAAAATTAGCCCACAGCTAACGCCCTTCTGGTCTGAACTGCGAAGCTTTACGAGTGTAATCTATTGCAAAAGATTGATTCAGATCACAAGAAAACCGTTCCAAAAATAGGTGAACAAAACTGCATTCACTCCAATGGTAAGTCGGCGAAATTTCGTTCACTTTTTTCATCTTGTTTAAATTTTATGGTATGTTTAATTTTGCGACATTTACTAAGCCAAGCAATAGCGGAAATTATATTTTGACCATCAAAAATCATCGGAGCCTTTGTTGTACTTTTGTACTTAGGTTTTTTGTATTTCGTTTTTCAGTTATCCTGTGAATGTTTATTATTATAATTAGCTTCGCCGACTATTTGCCTGTACATTTTATTTATTGTTTCATTGTTCTGTGTAGCTTCTTCTGCTGTTAGTTTTTTGCTGTTGTTATTGTGTTTTAGTCGTCGTAACCGTCCGCAAATCTTTAAGTTCAGTTATTTTTCCATAATTTTTCACTTGCGTTATTTATATTTCGTTTTTTATCGTTCCATATGTTTAGCTTGTTTTTAATTTGTTTCAGCGAATCGCCGGTTAAAATACAATAAACCTAGTGTGTGGAATTCGACCTCAGCATCTAAAGGAAACGAACTTAAATTGAGGGAGGTTTTTTGACTAACAGGTGTGCTAGAGTAAAGCTATTTTTAAGTTAAATTTCGGAGTCGCAGTACCTTAACTTCTACCACTATCTTAAATTTTACGTTCTGGACAGCATGTGATAGACTTTGCTTTCACGCACAACGCTGGGCTAGATTTTCCCGAGCGACGTAAGGCGCTGTTGTACTCGGCTCGATTTCCAGCTGTTTTGGGAGTCCGGTTGTGATCTCCTTGTGTTGCCAATGAAAAAAGTAATCTTCTTCACACGTAACATCGGCCATAGTACCAGAAACGCAAAGATTCGAGCAAATAGCAGGACATTCCCCTTGTGGATGACGGGTTGTGGATTGGTATACCGCTGGTTGTTGCAGCTGTGGGCACATTAGTGGACATCCTGAGCAAACTGAAAGAGGCCAAGACCTTTTATCAGATTAGGTATCGGCTTTTGAAACACAAGACAAGAAGTAATTATGAATAATAACTCTAAATCAATTCTTTTACTACCTTAGGTTAAAACTGGGATGTGTAACGAATTTACAAGAACTAGAAGATTACAAAGGAACAAGTTAGATAACCTAATCACTCTGATTATACTATAGGGACACTTCAAGACACTTCACAGATAATTCAACACAAAATATCTAGTGGAAAAACCTCTTAAACATCTCTTCAGTGTTGGTTTTGTACTTGGTTTCGTGGTTATTGGAGGCCTTGGCGTGGATGTTAAACCTGAAGATAAAATAAAAAATGCTAAATTGTAACATAGGCAGATAGACGGCTCGTGATATTTTGCCATTACCTCGACTAATTTAATATTTTGCACGTGTTTTTATAAATTAAATTATTTTACTCACCATTTAAAGAATACACAAAATTTACTGCGTTCTTTCCAACACAATACTTTTCTTGCGGGCCACACAAGTTCAAATCATGGGTAACACAGTCTTTCGAGGGACCGTCTCTGAAATAAGTGTCTTCGCCATCAAAATCTGACCAACATTCTCCTAAAAGATTTCGAATAAAGGCCACAACACACGCGTTAGTTGCACTTTCCAGTGACTTCACTAGGATACACAAAATCGATCGAAGTTCAAAAGTTACGGGTGAAATAGACAAGAAGCCCGGCTGGTGAAATGCCCTTCCACTGGTTCAACGTAATTAGCTCACGCCTGAAAAGTCTAAGAAACTAATATTTATTATTGGGGTTCCTCTTCTATCGGAATAATGTAAGCGTAACATGTTCGCCTGTCTGGTCAGGATCATGGCCAAATAATCATTTAGTTTTCATGGACAGTGTGTGAAGTGAAAAAAAAAAAAAAAACAGAAAAGACAGCGAAAGCGTTTTTACCATAAAATTGTAATCCAAAGACGTTGTAACCTTTATCCCTTGTTTTGTTAGCACACCTACAAACCAAGTCGGGAAGATATTCGTTCCAGTTTTTCCAGTCGATCGGTTTACCGCTGTACACATGGCTAGCTGGATCGCGGTCGGTCATTATAAGTTCGGGTATGGGGCGTGGATTTATCAGCGAGTCTCTATAGCAACCAACTCGTGTGAATTTTACTGGGCAGTCTGAAAGTCATCAAAGGAATAACCCAAGCAAAAGGCAAATATGAGAAATTTCGTATCGACATATTAATGTAAAGTTTCTTTCGCCGTCTATTCTACTAAATTTGGTTTATTAAAGTGCACCTAACCCCCAATTTTTTTTTTCGCTAGAACGAATCTACTTATTATTTGAAATAGTTCTGCGAAATAATTTTTGAATTCCGTTAAATCCTCGATTTTCTGTGCCACGACGAAATCTCGAAAATAGCTCCAAAACACCGCCATTTTGTTTCACGACCGAGTTTGAGGAGAATGGGCCCAGGGGCTGTTGTGGCGTCTACCCAGGAAGGTTGAATATCTCACGTCCTCTCATTTCCTTCAGGATGGTGCAATACACATCGGAAAAGTGCGCAGAAACGCCTTCCAGAGGTACTATCGGCTGTTGCAGCAATATCCCAGATTTAAAGAAAGATATACTGTACAATTTACTGGCGATGATCGGCTAA